CCCCGCCGGGGCAGGAAGCGCCCTCCACCCGCCCGCCCGTCCCGTCCCGTCCCGTCCCGTCGCCTCACGGCGCCCCGGCGGAGTCACGAGTCGGGGAGTTTCGGGCACTTACGTAACGCCGCGGGGCCGCCGCCGCTGTTTCTCCCCCTTCCCGAAGTCAAAGTCGCTTCCGAGGCCCCCCAAGTCCCCCAACGCCCTGGGACAAGCCAGCGCCCGCCACCGTCGCTTCCTTCCCCAGATCCTTCCCACTCCGCTGCCTCCCTCCCTCCCGGCGGGACGCGGCGCTGCCCCAGCCCCGCAGCGGGACAGTGGAGCTCGACGCCGCCTCTCGCCGGAGGAGCTCCATCTCCGCCAGGCAGCCCCCAGCTCCCAACATGGCCGCAGGAAAGCGGCCGGAGCCCCGGCGGAGAAGGGCTCCGTGAAGAAAGTTTCCCTCTCGCTCCCCCGGCCGGACCGAGCCCCCCCCACCCCGCCCGTAACACGGCCAGCCCGCGCTCCTCACCCAGTGCACCCCGCTCCGGCCGCCGCCTGCCCCGCTCCCCGCACGGCCGCGGTCATACACCCCGCGCCGGGGGACGGCCTGCAGGACACCGCCCGGCGGGGCGGGGCCACCGCCATCTTGGGCGGGAAGGGCTGAGGCGGCACCGCCCTCCCTCCATTTCCTCAGCACCGGGCTGGCCCCGAGGGCCGTCCTGCGTGGGGAGGGCAGAGCGGAGCGGGGCTCGGCCGTTCCTACCCCTCGAGTGGCACCTCGTGGAGCAGGGATACTCCAGACACGAGACTATTGCCTCATGGTTTTTTTGTTGTGGGTTTTTTGTTTTTTTTTTAAACCAACACGTTTCCATTCTTTGTGCACTGTCCCGGGTTTATGCTCGTGCTCGTGGCTCTTTAAGTACGGTCTCCCAACTGTAATTCAGTGTAGGCACGTTTTTAACTACCTCTCTGTACTTAAAGTTTTATACAGCGCACGGAAGGGAATTAGCAACATTTTTCAGTCTGAAGAGTTGCCTGGTCAGCATGGAGAAAGTGTGGCAGGTGTGCCAGAACGGCTCCCACCAGAAACGCTGTCAACACGAGGAGCCCCTTCCATCTTGTGTTAGCATTTTTAATGTCTACACATCAATAGAGCAAAATCCAGACCAATATTTTCCAAATCTAGCCAGCTACTCGGTAGCTAACATGATCCTTCTAAGATTTCCAGCCACTGATGGATGGTACAGAGGGGAAAGGTGGCTGGGGTGTTCTGGGGAGCTGCGGAGAAGAGAGCACAGCACCATGCTCTTTGTAGTGTCACACTGGTGCCAAAATCTGTGCTCTGGAAAATGGCCCAAGGGTTTTCTTTTTTAAGAAAATTTCACTTACATGCAACATACCAGTTTTCATTTCCCAAATTTCACATTATTGAGCAATGATGTGATTGGCTTTTTTGGAGAATAAAAATAGTTTGGTGGTGGAGTAATAATGAACCCACTGAACTTTCTGAATTTCATCTGAATTTTCTGTCCCTGTTCAGACAGGAACACAGATAGATACGAACCATATCACTGAGCTGGGTCTCTCCTGGTATGGAAGATGGGCACAGGGAAAGGACCAGGACATGGAGGGCTGAGCAAGTGTGTCCACCCCCCCTACAGCATGGCAGCCTGGTCATCTGCTTCTCCCCAGATCCACCTGGTGTTCAGCCTGAGTTGTCCTGTGATTATTCTTAGTGTATTAATTTATATAAGGTGTGGACCAAGCTGTTTAACCCAAGGTTTTTAGAAACAGGTGCTTGTGGCAGTTTAAGAATTCCAGGTCTGAGTGTGTGTGCAGGATGTATTTGTCAGGTGCTTCATGTGTAAAGAATTTTGGCACACCCAATGTTTAAATTGACCACCAGTGCCTTCATGTTGGGATTGCCAGCTGCACAGAGATCTTCACACCAGAGAATCTTTTATTTATGGGTTGGGCTGGTTCTTGTGAATCAAAATGATCAGTTTATGTTGTGACCTGTGGTAGATTTAATTTGCCCTCTAAATCAATTATTCTTGACATCAGAAGCAGCTTCATGGTTAATTAACTTTTCTTTCATGCTTACAAAATAATTTTATAACGTCAGGTTAAGATACAGCAGAAGGTTGGATGCAGGCAGAGTAAAACAGTGTTTCTGCCTGTGTGTCCATGTCTTAATTCTCTTCGTGAAGTCCAAATTGACATTGTTTTCTGAAAGGTTTGCAAAGCAATACAGCAGTGACATGCTTTTTCTAGCACATATAGTCATGGAATATCAGCACAAGACTTTAACTCCAATTAATAGAAAAATGAGCAACCTGTTGTCTGAAGAAGATTGTGAACTAAAAATGACTTAATGCTATCATGCAGAGCAACTTTAGTGCTATGAAAGACTGCCATAATTTCTTTCTATTGTCTTCCTATAATCTTCAGAATTCTTTTTTTCCTCCTAAATGAAGTATTTTTTTTACTGTGTTCAGCAAGAGGGGAAGATAAACCTTGTAACAGTGTATGTTTGCAAACCCTCAAACACTTTTTCTTAAATCTCTCTATAAAAAAGTAAATATTTGACCTAATTTTTAAGTAGTGTTGAAAAACTTGGCTAAGGGTCAGTGACTCTTGCTTTGTGCTCACTGTACTGAAATGGCATAATGATCATGTGTGCTGGTTTCAATGGAGTTTTTTGTACTTATCTATCTTTGCTCTTACATATTAACTCTGTATCTTAGTACTGCAGATGCAGTCTTGCAAAGAAAATGGATTCTACACAGAAGACACATAGAAGGCAAAGGGTGGGAGACTGTGGGATGTCCCACTAAACAGAGTATATACTAATTTATTTCACTATTTTGTATAAGTAGGGTATTTCACATAAATTATTTAATTGCCATTTTAATTTAGCTGAAAAAACTTCTCTCGAAGCATAGTGCCGTCTAAAATAACATTTATTTTTGCTGTTTAATTATAACCTTACTGTTATGGTTTTGCCACAGCTACACTTTAAGGGTGGAGGAAATATATTCTTCAGAAGACATGATATAGCAATGACATACTGCAATACATGTCCTATACTATGCTTTCTGAATTGCCTTATGATTTTTGAATGGCCACTCTTTACAAAGAGCTGTTTCAGGGCTTGCATTTTCACTTCAGATCTTCACAAGGATCACATGAAAATTGGAGCAAGTCTGTCTGGTGTTGAGCCAATGCAAATATATGGTTCAGTAAGTATTTTTACTTCATTGTGTCAGTGAGACATTTGCATTATTTATGAAAGCTTTCAGTAATGGGCTGTCTACAACTCTCTTGGCTTACAGGTTTCTCTCAAGCAATTTGAAAATTGCTGTGAACTTTTCCTTTGTGCTGGCATATAATTTCTGATGGAACCTACCGAAGTTGTAGCTTTCTTTAACATAAAAAAATGTTTAAATATTGTCAGCAGTGTTGACGGGTTTTTTTTAGCAGCACTAAAAAGTAATTTTTAAAAATGGATAGATGCCAGGATATCTGTAGGTTCAGAGATTTACTGTGTGGCAAGACTATCCTTTAAAAGTGTCTTGGCTTTAAAAGCTGGAGTTGGTGATTTTTTTCAAGTTTTCTGTACAAGTGGACTTGGTTAGTTTGTAAGTGGGAAGGAATTATCTAGTGGTAGTCAACTGTAGTTTGTTCCATGGAAGTCAGTTCTCTCTCCCACCAACTCTCTTTTTTTCTTTGTAAGTGCTCAAGTATCAGTTTTACAATTGATGGGACTTGCAACTAGAACCTTGCAGCATATGTTGCCCTTGGGCTAAAATAAAATCTCTCTGCTTCTTATACAGATAAGTGAGTTTTGTGTTACAAAAGAAAACTAATATTAGAGATTTAATTCTTAGCTTTATATATTCTTGGTCAGCAAAACTCAGTCATGGCATATTGAAATAAAACTTTAAATTCTTTGCTTTCAGTAACTTTAAAAAGTATTACAAGCAATAAAAAGAAAATCTGTGTTTTGTTTCTTTATTCATTGAAAATCTTTTTGAAGCAGCAGTGTATTGGCTTTTCTAGCTGGCAGATGCAGAAATGCAGAATACCTTCCCAGCTTTAGAATACTTCCACTCCTTAGTCACCCACAAAAGGAGGCCAAATCCAGTAACTTTAAGCTTTTTAAGGGGGAATTAAATGCTTTACTCTCAAATATTTCCTTTTGTGAAAAAAAGAATGAATATTTATTGTATCATTTAAAAATGAACTGGTGATTCCTAAGTTAGCCCAGTCGCAGATTCTGCACTAGAAGTTTGTTCTTGTTTGGCTCCAGTGGGTTGTAACCACCCTTGTTGGTTTGTCAGAAGTTTTGGAGGTGTCCTTCTGGGATGCTACTATCTTTTCTCAAGATTTTGTAGATCCAAATTATCTTCTTGATTCATTTGGTGCCTAGTTGAATGGAACACTATTGACTTTTCTCACACTTTAGCTGTTATTGCTGTCTTATCCATGAAGTGTTCTGTTTAGGAGAGCAGAGTTGTGTGTTTTAGGGATGGGGGTTTTAATAGGTACTATTCCATTATGGGTTTTCTTATGTGAATTTTTTTCTTTTTTTTTTTTCCTTTTTAAATTGTAGAGGTTGTCTATTCTATGGTCCACCAGGGACTGGAAAGACACCGCCTGCTTGTGCACTATGCTAATGAATGTAGCAGAGATGACAGATTTTAATAGGACAAATTCCAACTACAGAAGAGACATAGCACCTCTCAAAGAGAGAACATTTTATAGATAGTCATGACTTTAGATAGTCATTTATCATTATAAACAATACGCTCTGAAGAGTCACTCGAGTGCAGCTGCTTCCTTGTACCATACATCTCCTAAGCAGTCAATACAGTTCATGCAGCTGACACTACATGAAACAGCCTCAGCCTTGCTAAGCGGGGATGGAATTATCTCCAGAGAAGCTGTTTTTCAAGAATCACACAATGGTTTGGGTTGGAAGGGACCATATAGAACATCTAGTTCCAAACCTGCTGCCATGGGCAGGGACACCTTCCACTAGACCAAGGTGCCCAAAGCCCCATCCAACCTGGCCTTGAACACTTCCAGGGATGGGGTACCAAACTTCTCCGGCCATTCTGTGCCTGGAACAGACACTGATCTAGCAGAAAGTGATGCAAATCTGCTGATTCCATAAACCTGAGATTTTATCTGAAAGAATGCAACACAGGGGCACAACTGAAACACCAAGTAACCACTGCCCCAGACCACCCACTCCAGCTTTCCTTACAGGCTTCCACGGAAGACTTCCTCTACCAAGTTCAGAAAAAGACAAAAGAAACCATTACAGAAGTGGAGTGAGCTCCTGCCTATAGAGTGTCTGTCTTTGGCTGCAGTATGTGGACAAGACAAAGGCTCCTGAAGTGTTTGTTTTATCCAGACTGACTTGGAAGGAGGAAATTGTAACCACAGCCATTCATTTATATTAAAAAAAAATACCCTATTGAAGCATAATCATATTCATCAGAACGTGAATGACCATACCACTCACAGGTTTTATGTTCTTAAACTACACAAAAATTACCATGTTTCTGCCTGCTTTCAACATAGGACATGAGGAGAAGAAAGAATTCAGATATTATACCATTTCTAGACCCAAAGTAAAACTCTGGCTTTCACAAATAAGCATTTCTGCAAAATGAGTTGAGATGCATCTGACAGGAAAGGTTTAAGAGCACTTTCAAGTTGGAAAGCAGATTATCACCAACTATAAAACTAAGTTTGAGCTCAGTAAATAACAACTTACGTTGCACAAACAGAACTTGAGTTACTACACACAAAGGGCATTTCGGACCGCTTCCCACAGTCAGCCTGTGGCTGTCAATGTGCTGCCTGGAGCTAATGGATTTTCCCTGCTGCCAGCAAGCGACCTCACAGCACCAAGCCTGCTCGTGTGTACTCAGCACAGCAATTTGGTTCCAAGGTAAAATGCTCAACTTCAGGGACACCTTGCCCACACCAGTGGTTTTGTGCATCTTGTGACCAAATTACTTTTTAACTCTTATTTATAACACTGTAATATTTCCTCCTTCTTGAAAGAATGATTTACAATTAATCTGTGTCTTGCAGACTCCAGAAAATCCATGTCACAAAAAAAAACTGAGCTAAGGAATAGATGCTCTAGTGCCTAAGAGAAGGCAGGAATTCACACTGCATTCTTCCCAACCCTGAAAGGAATCAATAGCATCCCCTCCTATCTGCACCGTCCTTTTTTCATAAAACTCAGAGGAAATTCACTATCAAAGAGCTATCCTCACAACTTCAGCTGACTTTGGCTGATGAGCTCAGAAGTCTGGGGACTAAATTAACTAGACAGTGACCAAATGTAATCCTTCTCAGCAAAAACCAGGCTAAAAAGGAATCCTAAGGGATTATCACTACTTACTTTCCTTATGGTTTTCCTTTTTTGGGCCCGATCCCAGCTTTGCCAACTGCCTACATTAAGAAAGAGGACAGAGGAAAGGGGAACAGAATTGCTGAATTAGAAGTATTGTACACAAGTGTTGTATCACATTGCATTGTACATTTCCCACTTGAGACTGGGGAACTTCACCGGGTTTATAACCCAGCGCTCCACATCATGCAAAGAAAAGCATGTGGACCCCAAGGAGGATTCAGACCCCAAGTCTGCTGGGTACCATATGCACACAGTTCTTGAAGGACAGATGCTTCCTAACCTGGTAATCTTGATGTCTCAATAGGGCAAATAATATCTCAGTAACCAGTTCAGATAACTATGTTCTTCCCTCTTTTCCTAGGAATGTTCAATTTTTTATCCTCCCAGGATATTCCTGTGGAAGAACATGAAAATGTAGTTCAAGGATGATAGAAAAATTGGTCAGAAAATGAGAGAGTGATCTTTGTGGCTAAGTCTCCTTCTGGAAAGAAGAGTGTCATGCCTCCTGAACATTCTGACCTAAGAGAGGAGAGTGAAATGCTGGATTGCCAAAGAGCTGGAACTTCTGAAGATGGAGGTTCAAATTGTAAGTGGAAGGTCAAACAAGTAATTTAGCTCATTTTTCTTCCTGAGGAGGGTTACACTGTTCAAGAGGTTTTAGCCTTCTTGAATTCCATTGTGTTACTTCTGTGGTGTCTCTCAAACCAGCACACAGTGTTTCTTGCATAATGGTGCTGCCCCTCTAGGTATGCTGGCCAAATTTATGTTTTTCTGCAGCTGCTGGTTTTCTGGTTCTGCAGTTTGTTTTTCAAATGGTACCTAATGGAAAAACAATCCCTGACTTTCTTTTCTTGTATATCTTCCCAGTAATAAGCAGCGTAAGTTAAAAAGCCATACTTCAAGCAGCGTGGACTCAGAATGGAAGAATTATGTCCTAATGTTTGTGGTGCAAGATGTGTTTCCTAACCTAAATTATTTGGAGTTTAACCATGCAGTGCTATAATGGCAATGTGACTGGTTTTTGCTTTGTTTTACCCTGCCTTTTTTCTCTAGTGCTTTTTTGTGTCCCAGTTTCTAGCTTTTATGGAGCACTGACTTTTGCCAGAAAGTAAAAGTGAAAAAATGGTAACAGTTCTGTTATTGCAGAAGTACCTATTCCAGGTACACAATGCTTCACTGGTACCATATTCCAGATAGAGAAATCCCAGCTTAAGACATTTGTGCCATTCCAGATTCATGGGTACACCGCATGACTCATGTGCAAAGTTCTCTGGTGGATGAGCAACTACAAGTATGTGATGGGAGAGCAATGAAAATTTACACACACACAGGGAGCATTTGTGGATTACTCTGAGCTCAGAGTAAGTCTAATTTCAATTTTGTTAATACTGTTTTCTTGCTATCTGTACAGCTGTAAATTAAGTTGGTTGTTAACCAATTCCAATTCAAACAATTTATGGGAGGTATTTTTAAGCTGTGAAACAATTCAACCTGTAATGGACTATGACATTTCCACAGCTGATGTAGACTGCTGCTCTTGCTTTTGGTAAAGTAAATTGTAGGAGACTGGGTTCTCTTCCTAGTTTTCAATGTAAAAGGGCTTGTTAAATTTTAAAATAGCTCCCTGACAATCTGCTAGTACTGTTGGTTATTATTTTCTTAGCAGTTTTTATGATGGATTTGGAGAGGATTGTTTTGGTTTGCTGTTTGCATGTTCTCATTTACTAGAAACCAAAAAAGGTCCTTGATTTTCAGCAGTGATGACTTTAAATCTGAAGTTTAGTGACCTAGAGCTCATCCTGGATAAAATACTAATACCTGATTTTCTCAAATTTTGCATTCACAGAGTTATAGCATTACAAGGTTCTTCCAGTCTCCTGCAGGAGAGAAATTACTCTCCTAGGCTAGAACTGGGGAAAGGATCAAAAATGGGCCTAGCTGCAGGAGGTAAAAGAGATTCCTTTGCATGAATTGGAGAGGGTAGAAGAAGGACATGCCCTTCAGGGGATATTGCCATGAGGAAAATTCAGGAAACTGCTAGGTTGAAGTGCTGGAGGTTGGTCAAAGCAGAAGAGGCTGCTGTTTACCTGCAATGATGAGATGCAATCCATCTACTTCGATGTCTCCCCTGTATGGGAAAAATGTGACCAAAGTGAATCCCCTTTGGTGAAGAGCTTGTCAACACAATTTCTGTCATATTTTTAAGCTGTGACCCAATTTGTAGAGGTGAAACTAACATTCTAAGGCTGCCTTCCTAAGGAAGAGAAGCCACACAGGTTTCTTTAGAGTCAGGGTGCTAACAGCACCTATTCCAAAGTTATTGCCCACTGGTACTTATAGATGTTTCAGCTTATAGATGTTTCAGCTGCAAGGAGAGAGCTTGAGTCATGAAACATATCTTTTGGAAAACTTGTTTCCTTAATGTGGGTGCCACTGGAACTTGCTGCTTGTACCAGAGAGCCTCTTTGGAACTCACTGCAGTCAATAAGCTCCGTGAACCTCCAAAAAGGAGTTGCTTGCTTTTGTATGGGGGTTTTTTGGTTAGTTGGTTGGGCTGGGGTTTTTGTGTGTTCATTTATTTGCCTGGCAACAGACACTGCACTTGATGAACAAATAGAAGAGCATGCAGTCACCTATGTGGCAGCAACTAGAAATAGTTTCAGACGGGATGTTGGCCACACACCTCTGTCATGCCGGACCTTTTGTGTCTGCAGCAGCTGAAAGCACGTATGTGGGTTTTGTGTCTTCTCTGCACGTGGTGTAGAACAAAGTTGAGGGGAATGTTCAAATCTCGTGGTAGCTGATCTGAGGGAGGCCGAGCTAATGGCAAGCGGTTGTGTGGCAGGAATATTTTTATTTGGTGTGGCTGCTCTTTTAAGCTACATCTTGACAGCCTTACATAACACGCAACTACTGAACAGCTCCACCAGTGCTGTTGCTGCGTGTTAGTGTGCTTTTTCAGAGATTATCACATCTTTGGTAACAGAAGGGACTGTCTGAGAGACTGGTAATTTGTAACAGTCACTCTGCTATTCACTCTTGGGTTGAAAGGTAGGAGCTAACTGCTGTAACTTTGCTTGCTGATCTACTTCAGACTTGAGCAGCGTGTTCTGCCAGCAATGCTGTAGGCACAGTACACATTCAGCTAATGGCTAAAGGTGAGCACCTAAGGATGCTTCCATTTTTGCCTGGCACAGCTGTATCTGGAAGACCTGTAGCCTTGGCCTCCAAAGACACATTTTCCAGGGCCCTGTATTGTGTTTCTAACAAAATGCAACCATGGCTTTGCTGTGGCAGCTACTCTGTAACAAAGTGGATTCTGTCATTCCCTGCTGTTTTGGAAGCAGCAGATCGGCATTTATGATTGTCGATGTCATAGACTGATGAGCAGGGAAATATTATCAGAAATTTTAGCCTTCTTTTTTTCTTAAGTATGAAAGATTAACTCATTTTCTTCAGTTAAATCCTGAGAGATAAGTTCTCTGAAGTGCCACTTTTATCTAACAATATAAAAAAGTAAGATGTATCTTGCTCTATTCTGAACTGTAATTTCCCTTTTTTTCTTCAGCAAGTGTTGCATTCTCTCACTGTGGTAACTGAGCACATGGCAAAACTATATTCTGTTCTTAGCCATCAGGAAGATGATGACAATACCTAATTAGTGAAGGTAAATTGATTTGTCTAATAGCACTTTCTGTCACACAGTTATGCATGTGCATTATGCCTATGTATGTGTGCACTGTGACCATCACACTTATTTAGCATTACTCTTTACTGCTTAGTTGCCTGTGTTACAAGACTTCTTCATTTCAGTCTGGAAGACATTTATCCCTATTGCAAAACCACTGTTGTATTTGGCATAATTGTTGGCAGTTCCAGCAGGAAAAGGCAGTGAGTCCACCCACACAGGCCTCTCAAAGCAGTCTGTCACTAGTCCTTCTCCAGAACCTTTTCAGGGGTGGGGGGCTGCAAAAGGAAGGCACTTTTCTCAGTCTGCTGCTTCATCTTTCTCCCCTTGCAGGCAGTCACACATGGTAACACTTGTATAGTAGTCATTCCGTTCTTGAAAAGAAATTAAGTATGAAAACATTACAAGAATTTGAGATTTTCCTCTAGTCTCACCAGACTCTTTTTAACTAGCATGGTCCAAGCATCTTAAATTTGACATGTGAGGAGCTTTCTGCCTATAACAGTTTGATGCTAATGAGTCAGTCCCTATATTGTGTTGATTTGGATAGGTTGTACATTCAGATCTTTGACTAAGTTTTGTCTTTCCAGATGCTTGTCTGAGAATAGATAAAATTTTTTATGTCTCCTAGTCTGCCTTAAAAAAAAAAAATAGAGGAAGCCTCTTCTCTTTGGCCCTGTTCATCTCGATCTCTTTTTCCACATCCAAGAAAGAGCTAGAATGGACGCTCTGTCCTGACTGTGCAGCAGTGAGGATTATTTGATTGAGGAAGGCCATTCCTGAAAATGCACCTTTCTCTCATCTATCATAATGATGTGTTTTAGCATGAGAAGGGATTTGTTTGTTATCTCAGGGCTTGTGAGCTTTTGTGACTAGACTTAATTTCTGTGGTTTTCTAATTCTACCTTTAGCTTAAAGCAAAAAATATCTCCTATTCAGCGTCACTGTGTGAGCCGGTCAGGAGCTGCTCTACTACATGAAGACAGAGATTTTAACAAGTACTTATTCAGAGTGCAGAAAAGAACAGTTCCAGCTTTCAATTGTGGCTCTTCAGGAACTGTCTTCTTTCTCATTGTTGAAAATACCATTGATAGAGATCCACAGTCCTCTGACACAGATTCCTGCAGTCTCTCTAGCCTACTCTCTATTTTGGGTGCTTAAGGACACATTTGAAGCTAGTGGTCTAGAAAGATCTTGTGATGGCATAAGCCTACACATATATTGCCTAAATATTACTAACAATTGTATGTATGTACAGATTCTTGATCCTTTTGATGAAGAAGTAAACAGGGTTCTCAAGCTGTATTCATGCTGACTCCTGATTTGTCTTTTTTTTTTTTGTCAGGCAATAAAGAAAGAAATTGCAGCCCACAGTTGTCTGTGATACTTGACTTGACATACACGAATGATGTACAGCTCCCACATAGATAAATTATGTTTAACATATCTCAGTAATTGTAGCAGCCACAGAAAAAAAGAACAGAAGAAAGAAACTTCTTTCAGTACATCAACTGAAACCAGGCATAATGCAACGCTGAGCCAGCAACACTTGGTGAAAACAACTATAAGCCAGATTACAACAAAGAGGAGAAATAGGACATTTCTTATATGGCACCCACTTCCATCAAGAAATAAAAGGAGACAATACTAATGAAAGCAGACTACCTTGTTTGACAAGTATTTAATGCCTCCATTCACAACATTGTCCCTAAAGGAAGAATCAGGCATGGCCATCTGAGGGAGAGCTGTTCCCTGAAGGATATAAAGGAGACACAGATTGCCTATTTAAGCAGCCTCCTGTCATTTGCAATTCGAAATGCTGCTTTACTTTCTGAGGTCACTCAAAACTCTTTTTGTGACTGAAGTCACAACCTGAATTTATTTATTCCATATCCTGTTTACTAATTTACCAGTAAGTCCTCCTTACCATGCTAACCAATCACTGCATCACATGGCTTCTTTCTACACAAGAACAAATCAGCTCATCCACTGATGCCTTTGTGAACACACTGTCAAGATTTGTTCTACTTCAACACCACAGCAAAGCACTGGCCTTGTGGCCTAGAAGGAAGATATCACTGTAGCAACTTGAGGTGCTGGTGATACTGCATGGTTTCCCTTCTCTTCCCCTTTACTGTACTGCACTCCTGCCAAAAGTTAACTTTACAGGAGAGTGATTCCTTTTGAGAAGACAGACAGGGCTGCCTCAATTATCCTGACTCAGCACGTTTGGAACAAAACAAGGACCAACTGCAGAAAGAGACATTTGTAATGCTTGCTCCAGAACACAAAATAAACAGAGCGAGTGCGCAGCTGGCCTGGTGGCAGCTACAGAGCCTAAGCCTTTGCTCGTCGTTTGGCAGGAAGAGCTGCAGTGCCTGCGTAGGAATGAAACATTTTCTTTTCACCAGATCTCTTTGCCACATTCAGGAACACCAATAAGATACAGCAGCTGACTGGGAAAGAGGACAGAGCCTGTTAGGATTTCATGTTAAGAAAATAGCCATTATACTCCCAATCCAGTACATACATTGTTCTAGGTTCATACCACCTCGATTACTGCACTTCCGGTAATACAGAAACCAGGATCCTGAGCTGAACAAATTCAAAAAGAAATTTCTTACTTGGGAATAAAAAACTGCAAAATTAACCAAGATCTGTATCACAAACCAACTTCAAACACGTAAAACAAAACCACCAAAGATTTCTACCATGCTGAAAGTTTGTGATTAAAAAAGCCACAAATCTTGTTCTCAGAAGTTCATTATGTAGCATTGTACACTGAAATACAGGATGTTGTTATGCAGCCAAGCATCTGGGGAGATTAACCATGATTAAAAAAAAATCTCTGGGAAAAGCAGTTATTTAATGGAACAAGGATGACGGCAAAACAAGCTACCGGATTTGTGCAATTGAATCAACTGGATGTTAGGAACCATTATTTTACCATAGAACAAATCAAACAGAAATATTTACCTCGATCCTAAGAGATGCTGAGTACAAAGCTCCCAGCAGTTTCCCACCAAAAAACAAGAGCAGTATCCTTACAGACAGGGTGGTGTAAAATGACCTGAAGCGTTCAAGAATATGTTTCTTCGTAGTACCAAAGAAAAGGAATTCGGGGAAGCCACGTAGGAGGGTGTCCTGAGAGACATGGTAAATACCGAGCAAAGGGGATGTTGAACCCATGTTGCAATGATAGCTGTGGGCAACAACAGAGAGACTAAAGGCCAAGAGGAAGACACAGCCAAGCCCAGAGCAGAGAGAAAAAGCCAGAGACAAAAACTGTATAGGGTTCTCTTCCTATGTTGTAAAGCTATCCTCCCACTACCTACAGTCACATCAATGCTCATTCTCAACACACAGTTAAACTCTGCACTACAGCTGTATTTCACCATTCTGAAATGCTACATAAATACTACATAATTAAAACAGCTAAAGCTTTTCCTGACAGTTTTCTTGCATTCAAATATACATGCTCATTCTTCCAAGTATGAAGCATCATCACTACTTGGAAGAAGCCTGCTCCTTGTACTGAATAGAACTGCTTAGCTGATTTATAGGGCATTTCTGTAACTGCTTCTGGGCATAAAGCAAGCAGTTTTTGTTTGTTGGCTTGGTTACTGGAGGGGTTTTTTTGCTTTTTTCAGTGAAGAGTGACAACTGTCAGAAGTATCCATTAGCACAGAATTTGTCCAAGAAAAATTCTGTCATATTGCTGTTATTACAGGAAAGACAAGAAAAGTAATCTCAGACAAGGACATATGACTTGGCAGACGTGAAACAGAGATATCAGCCTCAAATTCCAAGAACAAACTTAACTGCTGCCAGCAAGCTGACAGCTACAGTTCATGTGCATCTGCTGTTTCCCAGAACTGCACTTTGCAGAAGCGTGAAGTTAGACACTTCACAATTCTATCAAGTTGAGACATTAAAGAAAAAAACTCAGCACTCTGAACCCATATTAAAAAAAAAAAAGAAAACAAACTTTAATATGTTTTTCTCCAAGATCTAATATACAAATGCAACGGTAATAATGTACTCTTCTTTTGTAAGCTTGGATGAAATATATTGAAGTCCACTTTTTGCATGTTATGTAAAAAATCATCTAAAGCAACCTAGAAAAGAAGAAAAAAAGCTTAATCCATATGGTGCATACAAATAATTGGGCATTAAGTTTAAAAAAACAATACATGAAAACAAATGAGAAACTGCAAAAAGGCTTGACAGTTTGTGTTATTAAGTGGTAGCGTAACCATCACATTCCAAGCATATAAAAAAATCAGGTTTTGTGAAGAGAAGCATTACCTTTTACTAGACCAAACAGCAAATTATAAAAATAGACAAGATTTGGGGCTCTTGCATCAGAATGGCAGTCTGTGAATATACAGACATCTTGGGTGAAATGATGTAGTTAAAGGAGAAGGATTAAAAGTGTTGATCAAAACTGTAAGGTTCCAGAGTCAGGTACACATTATGATTGATCTTTGTGAATTTTAGGTATTACATCCTCCCAAAACAGACACATGAAGCAGGAGTTAACCATGCTTAATTTGTTACTCTTCACAAACATTAGCAGAGGAATGAGTCCATCACTTAAAGAGTGCATGATATCACACCCACCGTACAGAAAAAAGCAGGATACGCCTTCGCGGGAACTTTCTTACTGAAAGATCTAGCCTAAAAGTAAATGGGGTAAGGTGTGGGGGGGAAACAAAACAAAAACAAACGTACTTATCAGAAGAATTTAACATTTCAGATTAAACATCAAGTACTATGTAGAATGGTTAGAGGCAACAAACTGTTTTATGAGCTTCATCCCTTTTTATTTTGACATCCTGAATGTGTAACTTTTCCTTATGTGCAAGCCAGCACCATCCCTCACTGTGTACAAAAGCAGTTACACAGTAAGTATGTAATACTGGGAGAGGCCTGCTAAAATATTTACGTGGTTTGACAGACTTAAAGATTACATATTATAAATCATGTAAATTAGCATCCCTTGTTCCAACAAAGTCCCAAGTTGCATCTGGTTTAATAAACAATTTAACCTTTCCCCCACCCCACAACCCAAATAACTCTCTGCATGCCAATAGACAGAAATTATGGAAGACCAGAAATGCACTTCTCTCAGTGCATCTTTTTGGTCCAATGTTGCCATCAGCCCCAGGAGCCCAGTTGTAAATGCTCCCATTGCATTTCTGGGACTTCAAAATTGTCTCAGTTCCTCAGTATTTACATATCACACCTAAAGCAAGGCTGAATCAAATCTACAATTTAAACTCGTGTTCAGCTCAGGTTCCTCTAACAGAGCTGAAGCAAGTCTTCCCGTAATGTTTATTTATAAACACAAAATCCCTCCTTGTTTTGCCTTTTCTTACAGGTTAAAACAAACCAACCCTTTACAAATACTGACAAGAGTGTATAAGTTTCTGATAGTTTTTCACAAATTTTTCCAGGCAACTGAGAAAAATCAGCCTGAAACTTTGGAAGGAAAAAATACTTAATCTTTTAGAAGGCAAATTATTTTAACACTTTTTGTATGTCTATCTCTAAAAAAGAAAAATATTCTTCCCTGATCTAACATCTTGTCTTACTATTATTAATTGCGAGATGAAAAAAAAAAGTAGTCTTGCTTGACCTTCTTAACCCAGAATGGGTTGCACGTCATTCAGAAAGCATGTTATCTTCCTTGGTAAATTGAGCCCATAATGATGTAGCATAACTGAGATAAATGCAAAAAGCCAAAAGGACACTCTCTTTTAACAAAGGGTGCTTAAGAGGAAGGAGGAGAACATGTAAATGTATTCACAGGCTTTCAAAGGGGGTCTGTGGGACTGACAGAATGTTTATTATATCTTTGTATTCTAATAAAACACAGAACTCCTAAGGAAAACTACAATCTTCATTATCTTATTTTGCCCTCTGCTGGTCATCAGTCCCTGACCACACTCCAGAAATTTTTCTGCCAAGATTAAGGGCCACATTACTACAATATGCTTCCTATAATATTGCTGAGACTCAATTCTGCATTTTAGGATTATATGTCTTCTGGTTGTGAAATGGGGCTGGTAACCATTGTCCTCATCCTCTAAAATATGTGGTTTGTGTAACAAATGCTGAGATTGTCGAAACCTGTCTTCAGGTTTAAACTTTACCCTACTCTCTAATTCCAACTAAAACAAAGCATAAGTGGCTCAAAAGACCCTCAGGGAAAACAAGATGGTGATTTTATACAGGAGGACAGATGCATTTAAAGGCACCAGCCCACTACATTCACCTTAAGTCTTGAAATACCCAGCAAACCTTGCCAGCTAAAGCCCATTTCAGCCATTAGGGGAGAAAGTACCTTTGTCCTTGCATTAACAAAGATCATCTGATTATTAAGGAGGCAAATATCCTGTTACTGCTGCCAATTATAGCCAGTTCAAGTGCTTTGAACCCTCTATAGAGATCCTGCACTGTCAACTATTCTTCACTGATGATGATGGAGCAAGTATTCAAAGAGGAATTTTTTAAATTTTAATTAAGGTGATATAACCCATCCATTAACAGAAAAAGGGGAGAGGGTGCCAAGACAAACATTCAGTTGAATGAAATGCTAATGCTGCCCTAATCTGGTTTCCTCCTGTTTATACTTTTCTGTATAGTCTCCAATTACATGATCACATTGCATATTTTCCTCAGGACCCTCCCAGTGTATAACATGGGCAGGGCTCTAGGAATGCAGTGGGAAGAAAGGAGGCCTGTTCTCTTCAGAAGCTGGTAGGCATTCTGGAAGTGAGGGGACCAAGGCAGTATGAATTATCAAATTATCTGAAAAGTTCTGAAGAACTGAATTCTCTTCCTGCTTCTGTCCCAAAGTATCCATACAATACCAGGAACCAAATTTTAAACATGTAGACCATAAATACACATTACTCATTTCCATTTCTCCCATCCCTGATATGAGGCATTTCAGACCAGGCACTTGGCATTTTTGTAAGCCACAACTGCAACCAAAGTCAATGGGTTTTAAATGCTGTGCATTATGGGATAACGGGTGGAGAATAAAAGAAGAAAAATCAAAATATTTCAGCTTGAACAAAGATAGTGGACAGTTTTGATGTTGCATTTTCTTTGTCTCTGTTCCCTACTTCTAAATGGAATAAACAGTTTTCCTGGGCATGTAACCACAAAAACTGAGACATCAGAAGAAACAGTGTGAACAGGAATGCGTTCATGCAAATTAGAATTAGTCTATAAAAAATAAAGCTCAAGGCTACATAAAATCATAGAATGGTTTGGGTTGGAAGGGATGATCTGGTTCAAACCCCCACTGCCATGGGCAGGGACACCTCCCACTATAGACCAGGTTGCTGAAATCCTCATCCAAACTGGCCTTGA